ATCAGATGCACATTTTAGGAAGATCAATCTGACAGTTGGATGGATTGGAGTAAGGAGAAACTTGAGGCAGGGAGACCAATGAAAGCATTGGTCAATTTTTTAGTCAATTGCTTTTGCAATGGTCCAGGTGTGAAGTGAGGAGAATTTGTAACAAGGAGATTGCAGTGTCAGAGAAGTGAGCAAACATGAGCAATGGGGAGAGTAAGAAAGAGTGAGAAGTTGACTATGGCATTTAGGTTGTCAGTTTAGGTGATTAGGATGATGATGGTACCTAACTATAATAGAGAAGTTATTATGGGAGAATATTTGGTGGGAAATTATTTGTTTCATTTTGGGCATATTGAGTTTCAAATGTCTGTGAGACATCCAATTTGAGATGTCCCAAAGTTATTTGGAGATCTGAAACTAAAGGTCAGCAGAGAGAATAGGCCTAGCCCACTAGATCTGAGAGATGATAATTCATAAGCAACCATGAAAGCTGATGAGATCACCAAGTGAAATAGTATAGGAGGACAACAGAAGAAGGTTCAGGACATGGTCCCTGTGGGACACTCATGGTTAGTGGATGTGACCTAGATGATTATCCAGCAATGGAGACAGAGAAGGAGCTGTCAAACAGGTAGAAGGAAAAACAGGAGAGAGCAATATCATAAAAACCTATGAAGGAGAGAATATCAAGAATAAGAGGATAATTTGCAGTGTCAAAGGCTACAGAAAAGCTAAGAAGGAGGAATACGGGGAAAAGGCTAGTAGATTTGTAGAGAGCAGTTTTGACTGAATGGTGAGGTTAGAAGCTAAACTATAGAAGGCTAAGAAGTGAGTGAAAGGAAGGAAGTGGAGGCAACTATTGTAAATAGCTTTCTCAAGAAGTTTAGCAACAAAAGGGAGGAGAGATATTAAAAGGTCTATGCATACTTCCACAAACATACATACATATATATATATCAACACACTGTACATGTATTAACACATTCATATTTTCCATATTATATTTAATATTCTAGGTATTTGCATACAAAACTTATTTACACTATAGCCATTGTGTTTAGCAGCAATTAGCAATAAATGCTAAACAGTTACATAGATGACTTCAATTAGTTTAATCGATTAATCAATTTCTCAATCAACATTTCTTAAGTGCCTACTATGTACCAGGCGCTGTGCTAAATGATTCAAAAAGAAACAAAAGATAGTCCCTACCCTCAAGGAGCTTACAATTTGATAGTTTATTATTACTTATCCAGAATAAATGCTTTATAGTCTTTCTCTTTTTACTTTTTAAACAGCTACTGCTATTTCTTCACCCTTACCATCTTCATTCAGGCTGACACATTTTGAAAAGAGATTTCTTGGATTCAACTCCCCAACAGTTGCTCTGTCTTTGCCCTTGACATGACTTCTCCTTCAAATCCCTCCCTCTCTTCCCTGTTTCACTTGTAGGAGTTGTAATAGAAACTTTGGGACACAGTTCTTCCCAGGATTTGCAAGAGATTTTAAAAAAATGGAAGAAGAGAGAAGGAAGTTGGAAGTCCTGCAACCATAAGTAGTCCATTTAGAAGATCTGAAAGGATTGTCTACAAAATATCCTTCTAACCTTGAAAGTAAGCACTACTCCAGGCAGGAATAGATATGTTAACTGCTCAATATAGAACTCTTCCTGAAAATAGTCAATTTATTTATGTAGAAAAGAAAGTAAAGAAGCTATTATATAAGTCATAGTGATATGAATTAATTAAGAAGAAAAATAAATAAGAGACTTTCATAAAGCCATGCAGGAACAAAGAGAAATAAAGTTAATCCCTCTCTCTGTCAGGAGAACAGAGGAATATAAAAGATACAACAAAAGCTGTGTCAGACACATTCTTGCCACAGGGAAGCAGGAGGATCAATGCGTTTTGTAATGACTATGTATGTTAGCATTTAGAAATGGCACAGGAACTGCCTTTGACTTTTGTTCATGAAGATTTGCCTAACGTAACCAGTGGAGTAACTCATTTATAAAGAGGGCTGCCACATATACCATGTTTCAAGATGGAACCTATTGCCCTGGCCTCTTCCCTTTTCATACGTAATTATGTGACAGAACAGTATCACATCAGTGATGGTGGAGGAACTATAGGCTCAAGCTGAACCTCAACTTCAATGGGTTTTAGGACGAGTAGGTCAGAGGCTAAATAAAGTTTTAGGGACAAGATCTTCCTCTGCAGATGCAACTGGGAGAACATGTCTACTAGCAGAAATAGCTTCACGGGGAAAATTCATTCTATTTAATTAAATAGGGTGAAATTACAATGGCCTATGCCAGGATTTTACATATTTTGCGGAAGGGAATATGTGGGACTAAAGGGGGTGCAAACCCTCTCCCCCATTTTCACCAACCTACTATCACCTATGCATTTCCATTCAGAATAATAGAATTTTAGAACTGGAAGAGACATTGATTGACTATCCAGTCCACTTCTAGTCAACTAGTCCATTCTGACAATCCTCTATGATTACATATACATATATATACATACATATATTCATACACACATTTGTATGTATGTGTATATATATATGTATATATATATACATATACGTGTGTGTGTGTGTGTGTGTGTGTGTGTACCCCAACCTGAGGGATAAAATGGAAATTCCTGGAGACTTAGCACATTAAATGAATTGCTTTTGAAGTCTAAATTATTGTATCAGATGCTTTCTTGTTTTGGCAGAAATAAGGACATTATAAATAAGGGAGGTACTGGGGAGGACAAGTAATACTGAAGGGAAGATCGGACACTGAAAGGCTAAATTGAGTAGAAAGAAGAGGATAAAGATGCTTTAATGAAACCTGGATGTTTGCCATGGGCAAAATTGTGACTGGGAGAACCTATCTTTGTTATTTTTTTTTTTTGGTTTTTGAATTGGAGTTAAGTGACTTGCCCAGAGTCACACAGCTAGTAAGTATTATATTAATTTTATAAATGAAATATTTCTTGCCTTTTAGTGTCTGGTGCTTAATAAATGCTCATTGGTTTGACCTACTCTTTCAGGAATCGACCATGATGAGTCTATTATGTTTCCTTTGACTATTAACACTCTCCACTGATAAGTATTGAAATTAAGGCAAGGAAACAGGCATTTATTAAGTATTTATTATATGACAAAAGCTGTGCTGTGTTTTATAGTTATACCATTTGATCCTCACAACAACCTTTTGAGGTAGGTGTTCTAGTGATCCTCCTTTTATAGAGGTAGACAGAGGTTAAGTGACTTACCCATTGTAAATGGATGAGACTGGATATGAATTCAAGTCTTCCTGACTCCAGGCACTATACTCTAACCACTGTTTAACCTAAATGCCATCTAAACCACAGCATAACTGAACCCTTGTTACTAATTGTCTGGGTTTTTCTAGCCCAATTGGTTATGTGATTTCACCTTTTTACTCTTCCTGCCAGATAGATACAGCAGGTGGAGTCCCTCCAGTTTCACCACTAATCTCCAACCCCAACACCACCACCATCTTAATTATAGCATCCCCCATTGATCTTCCATTGTTTCTTCATTTTCTCCTCTCTGACCTGAAATTCCTATTAAATTATGACACTCTTCAGGGTTAGAAAAGAAAGAAAAATCAGTTTTAGAGTTGGAAGAAAACAATTTAGATCAACCCTTTTATTTCACAGAGAAAAAAAAAACCAGGCTTAGGAAGGTAAAAATTGCTTGCTCAAGGTGCCACAACTAGTTAGTAGCACAGCCAAGCCTTATTCAGTGCTCTGTCCACTATCCTAAGGTCATTGTTTCCAGAAGTACACAGTTAAACCTACCTAATTATCTTCTCTAGTCTTCTCTCATTAGCCCACCCTTTAACTCTGATTATTGAAATCTTTTATAGCCTGTAGACTTCCTCTTTGAAGTCTTCATTAATTCTCTAGTCAGAAACTCTCACAGCACTTTATATTTTTACCTCTTCTATGTACTTAACCCATTCCCCTGCTCAAGAAGCTTTGATGGCTCCCTATTGCCTCCAGTATAAAATAAAACTCCTATTTAATATAAAATCCTTCACAATCTGGCTATAGCCTATCTTTCTAGGCTGATTATGGATTACTCACAAATGCACACATGCATACACACACACACACACACACACACACACACATGCACGCACAATTCCAAACAAATTGACTTACTTGCTATTTCCAGTAAATCACATTTCATCTCCTGGATATGACTTTGTGTCGTATTGTCAGCGTTCCATACCAGGAATGCTCTCTCCTCACCTCCACCCCCAGAGCCTCTTTCTCCCTTTAAAGCTCAACTTACATATCACTTCTTAGGTACCTCCTCAACATTAATTTTCATTTTTTGTAAAACAAATTGTGTTTGTTTACCCATGAATATGTTGGTTCCTCTCAGTAAAAAATAAGCTTTAAAAATTCGAGAATGGCTCATTAAGGAAAATAATCTGGAAATCAAAGCAATGATGACTAAGAACTAGTATGGTTTCAACATTACCCTTATTCTATGCAGATTCCATAGATATCTACTTATTTGGTAGATAACATTTAGCAACAGATAGAAGCCTTGAGTAATGAGGAGACAGTATGGAGCATCCACCAGAGAGGGTAAATTCAAATGGAGTACCTGGGAGGGGGGTCCTTGGGCCCCAGACATCCAGAGAGCAGCATGAGGGCATTAACAGATGGCAGACCCAGAATGATGAAGGCACCTGCACAACACCAAAAGTGGAGAAGGAAAACAAATTTTGCCTCAGATTTACCTTGCTCCATTCTTAGTCCCTTGAAAATTCACCACTGAATTTTCTCACTAATTTTCTCACTGAAGTGAGATCTCACTTTAGTGCCTTAATAAATGCTTGTATAATGAACAGTACAAGTTTATGAATGAACAGCATTTTAATCCCCTAATACAGGATGAAGAAACTTTGATTCTTAAAATCAGATACCTGAAGGGCCAGTGATTTCCTAGCCCCCATCTCCCATTCCCCAGTGTCAGTGTGGGCCTCGGCCAGTCCCAAGGACCTTTCTCATTGCCCCTTTAACTTCTTTGTTTCTCAGAGTGTATATGAAAGGGTTCAAGGTAGGGGTCACCAGACAATAGAAGAGTGTAAGGAATTTGCCTTGGTCCTGGCTGGCTACATTGCCTGGCTGCATGTACGTGTAGATGATGCTGCTATAGAACAGTGATACAACAATCATGTGCGAGGCACAAGTGTTGAAGGCTTTCTTCCTCCCAGCTGCTGACTTGATATTATACACAGCAGCAGCAATGTACCTATAGGAGACCAGGATCATGGTAAGGGGCACCAAAACAATAGGGATGGCTAGGAAGAAGACCAGACCCTCTACTCGACTAGTGTTGACACAGGAAATCCGTATCAAAGCTGGCATCTCACATACAAAGTGGTTGATACGCTGGTGACCACACCGCCTAAGTGATAAGGTAAGAGGAGACATCAGAATAGAGTTGGCAATCCCACTAAGCCAGGCAAAGGCAACCAGTTGTAAGCACAGCTGGGGGTGCATGATGACCATATAGTGGAGGGGTTTGCAGACTGCTACAAAACGGTCATAGGCCATGACAGAGAGGAGAATGCATTCAATACCTCCCACTGAGAGAAAGGCAAAAAGTTGAACCACACAGCCTATATATGTGATGGTTTTTCTGGGACCCCAGAGATTTACTAACATCTGGGGGATACTGCTGGTTGTATAACAAAGATCCAAAAGAGACAAGTTACTAAGGAAGAAGTACATGGGAGTGTGAAGTCGTGGGTCCAGGAGAGAGAGCAGGATGATGGTTGAGTTGCCCATGACAGCAAAAAAGTAAAAAATTAGATTGACAACAAAGAGGATCATCTCAAGCACTGGTCGGTCAGAGAAACCTATTAAGATGAAATATTCTTCAGAGGTTTCATTGGCTGTTTCCATCACTCTTAATGTCATATTTCCTACACAAAAAGTTAAATTATTTTGTTGTTATTTGCATACAATATTTCTTTGTATATATTACTGAACCAGCATCTGTGGTGTCTGAACTTTGGGTTGTCTTCACAAAATTGGAATGGATTTGTACCATGTCAACAATATCCTTTCACGCTTTGTTGTCAATGACAGTTTGCCAACTAGCATGTTAGGTGGTTTGGGGTAGCCTGTGGCCATGTAATAAAATGCATAATGATTTACACTTTGATATATAGTTTATAAAACACTCTCCTCACATAAGCCTTATATAGTATTTATAGATATACAAATTGAGACTTACATAAGTTAAGTGACTCACCCAGACGTGGCTAGAATTCCAGTCTAAATCTTTGGAATCCTAATCTAGTACTTTTTACCCTAAAACCTACTGTTAACTGACCCATATGAAGATTTTATTTCCAGCTTCATGACTGCACTGTTCTAACCAAAATAATCAACCATGGAGGGAAAAATACAGTGCAAAAGCCACTTCTATAGCCATGGTCAAAATGACAGAAGTCAAAAGGGAAAATCTATTTGTACCAAGTAATCAACTATATCAGAAATTATTAAAGGTTGAGTGAAATTCCTTCCTTGATAGGCTCTCTCTAACTTTATGGGAAGACATCAAGCATCAATACAAGTAACTGTAATTATCCATACTAACCAGAGTAAGTGGAAGCATGGATAATCCTAAATTAAATTCAGCCCAACTCCTTGTCCGTGGGCTAGACTGGCATGAATTATGAACTTTCATTGAGAGGCCTGCTCTGGTTTTATGGGGTATTACCATTTGTCTCTTTTGCTTCTGCCTCTGTGATAATGTATTATATCTCTTTTTCCCCTCCATTATTTTCATTTTTTTTAAATTTTGAGGTCCAAATTCTTTCCCTCCTTCCCTCATTGAGAGGGCAAGCAAATCAATATAGGTTGTACATGTGCAGTCATGCAAAACATATTTCCATATTAGTCATGCTTATTATATCTCTTGATAAGGCTCAGGTAAGTTACCAACTTGTCAGCCATCACCAAATGACTTACTGAATAGTGAGTGTTTGGTTACTCTTATCTCAAGGACCTAGCCCAGACCCAAAGACTCAGATTATAGGCTTCTTACTACTAAGAACTCTGCTATGGAAAAGACCACAAACACCAGGCCCAGTCTTTCTCCTTCCCTAGTGCTTGAAAAAGAACTGAAAGAAATCCTGTCACTCACAGGACATGAGATTGGGAATTCTAGTTGAAAGATATTAATCTCTGTCAAATGGCTAGTAAATCCCATCCCTTACTTTCATAATTCCAGTGATGCAGAATCCTCATGCTTATGCGTTTAATGCTTAATCAAAAACTGACTTCCATCATTAAAATCACTGTAAAATTTCATGAACATAAGCCCACCCACTCTCCAACTCCTCAATTCAATCCTACACTTATCCATTTGCAGTATGCCTAAGGTATAGTCACTGGGGATCAGCTCTCTGGACAGTAGCTATTCTTCACTTACATGATTTTTCCTATGTATATACTTAAGCTGAATTATTTTCCATGATTAGTAAGGGGCTGGTGAAAGTATTCATGAAATATAGGCATTAGATTTCTGTATATTATGTAGGCTTTCCACTTTTTTGTTTCTTATTTCTGAACCATATTTTCCTACTTATTTTTCATTGTCTTCCCTATGCCTATCTTTGCCTTATCATTACCAAGCATTACAGTATTAATCAATGTTCCTCAGATATCTTTACTAGTCCTTCACAGGATTCTTACGCCTCCCCATCCTTTGCAGCAGATGTTGATGTGTAAGCTACAGTTCTCTTCATGATTATCTTTTTCACTCATGTTCATGAAGAGTACTGCAATAAAAGATGACCCATATTTCCTGATGCTCATAGATGCACAATAAAACCAACTCCATGAAAAATAAATGGTATGATATAGTGAAAAACTCACTGGAGAGGAAGTCAGAGGACCAGGATTCAAATCTTACTTCTATCATTAACTATTTGTGTCAGGTTGGGCAACTCATAACCTGATTTTCCTCAACTCTAAAAGAACAGACTTGACTATAATTAAGCTAAGGTCCCTTCTAGTAATTGATAGGATCTATGAATTCCTTTCTACAAATCTATGAATTGCCTCTCTAAGAAACAACTAGGAGGCATACATCCATTTAGCTTCAATTTATTTTGTCTTCAAGTTTAATTTATAGTAAGGATTTAAATATGTATTTTAAGGTCCTCTAGTAGCATATTAACTAGGTAAAGATATGACATTTACAGAATCAAGAATTGTTTACTTTGAGAATTGTTGTACTGCTGGGTCCTAGCCAACCAAAGTAATTCCATGTTTAACCACTGATTGACCTGCCCTTTTTTCTTATGTACCCAACAACTAGCTAAGCAAACTATCAGTTTATCAAACTTTCTCTAATCCACTTATGTAAGGTCAGCAAATTTAGTGTCTTTATAGTTGATGGGGTAGGGAGAGGAATTAAAGACCAGACCACCTGTTGATTGACTGCTCCTGAAGTCCTCCTCAGTCTCTGTGAATCTGCTGAACAATAAAAATCAGATATAAGGGCAGACACCTAGGAAATCTGAGCTCTCAATTAAGGTACAGACTCTGCTGTACTCCCAAATTTGTCTTCTGCTCTTGGGTCTGGAGGGTGAGGGACCTACATGCTTCCATTCCTGTGAGTAATAAACTGCCTGACTCATAACTGTTTGAGTGCTATGCTCTTTCTCAATATCTCTTACCCACAATCCCCTCACACTTTGATTGAAATTTCTGGGGACTCAGATTAGGGGAATGGGTTTCTAAGTACTATATGAAACCGGTAAGTCTGAGGGCATCGTTATAATAAAACTTGTATCTTTTACTGAATGGAATGCTGATCATAAATGAAGGAGCAGCTTAGGAGAGTGTGGTCCTGAGTACTCAGAATTGAGGAAAGACTGAAAGAAATTCTGAGGATTGAATCCAGGCTGGGGATATGGGTAAGGAAGGGTTCAGAAGTTTGTGAAGAGATGAAATTCAGCCTGAAGTCAAGGAGTAGATAGGGACCTAGAGAGAAAAAGCCCTGTTTTTCCAGGGACCTGGGAAATTGATAGAGAGAAGAATCTGTCTTGGAATTTGGGGCTCCAGTATGGGTAACTAACAAGAGAAGACAGTGATCCCAAGGGGCAGAGCTAGAAAAAGATTTAATGGGATTCAATTCACTGTTTTGGGAGTAAAGCACAGAGAGCCTGGAAGAGGTTAATGCTTTAAACTGGTGCCCAGTTAACTGAACAATATGTAACTATTTATCAGTTACTTGCTTCATTAGTATATAGTTTGTACCCTAGGAACTCCTTTTATGGTAAAAATAGCTGGGCACTTTTCATGGTGTAGTGAAAAAGTACTGGATTTGGTGTCCGAGAACCTGGGTTTGGACTTCAATTCTTTTATTTGTAACATAACAAGTTTGGACTAGATGACCCCTAATTTTACCCTTTCAACTCTAAATCCTATTACTCACTGTCCTGGGCTGCAGTAAACAGAGCTGAGAAGGAATAACCCAGAAGAAAAAAAAGGATAAAGGCTGTGAATCAGGTACATTTTCTCCTTCTCTTCAGCTTCCTACCCTTCCAGCTGTACAGAAATGCTCTTGAAACAGGGCAATAGGAAACTGGCCATGAAATGTTTTGTTGAGAGTCCTTGCAGAGCATCTGTAAAGGTAGGGACTTACATACTGTGGTATAATGAGAAAGAAAAAAAATCTGAACCAGGAGCTAGGAAATCTGGGTTCCAGTTCCAGCCCTAACTATATTAGCAAATTGTTACCTTAGCAAATAATTTAGTTCTCTGAGGTTTGGGGATCTGTAAAATAGGGTTAATAACAATACTACTGCTTGCCAAAAATAAAATTCTCTTGAGGACCAATTGAAAATAAATTGTTGATAAATAAAAGTGTTGTGTTGATTTTATTGACTGTAACAACGGCAGCTTTCATATAAATAATTCAATTCATTTCAACACAATCCTTTTTCAGCAACAAGGGTTATTGGGAAGTATAGTTTTTCTAAGCTGGAAGGGGGAGACTAAAGCATTAAGACAGGTAGCATCCAATTGGTGGCAGCTGACTGAAAATGAAGGGTGCTGCTACCTACAGTTGAAACTTTGTCTGCCTGATGGTCTGCCTAAAAAATGATCTGCCCAGAAGAACTTGTTGTTTGTCTGAATGTGGAGTTACTCAGTGATGCTGTCTCTGCTTCCTCCTCCTCCTCTACCCCATGAACTGATTAATGAATTGTTATTACTTATACTTTGAAGTTTCATGAACTTTTAAAAATCTTGCTTATTTTCCGTATACATTTTTATAATGGATTTTGTTTCCAGATAAATATATCGTGACTTTTGTTGCTTAACCTTTTAAGTTTCATGATCTTTGACTGTAATCTGTCTGATTCTTCGCTATGTTGAACTGAAAAGCATCAGTCCAGTTCTGTGTGGTACTGGGGAGTGAGAGAAATTATTTTTCTATTATACTAATAACCAATTATTAAATTAAGATCCAGGCTTTTTCTTTCTCTATTTCCTCATTTAAGGCCCACCCACTGTAGAAGGTCAGTCAGTCTCTGAAGGACATGACTAATTGATGAGATTACCCCTAACCTTCAGGGAACATGACCTTCAATCTTGAGTGGGACCCCCTTCAACAGAATCCAATCTGGGTAAGTTCTTGCCCTTTGTACCCCTCCATTAGAATTTAGGGCCACCCAGTTCATGAAGGAGAAAACCGACCAGAGTGGTCTGGGTAGAAATAGGGTGTCTGTCCAGATTGTTGGAGGTAGCTGAGTCTCATGATCAAGCCATATTCTCAGCTGGAGGAGCTGAAGACTCTTAACCTACCTCCTCATTAAATGTCCCCCAATCAGGGCTCATTTTCACTTGTCAGGGGCATTCTCTTTTACAAAGATATTTAAAGAATTCAGTTTCTCCGT